TAAGATGAGCTTTCTGCTGCCAGGGCTACACTACTACCAGTGCTAGCACTACCAGCCTTAAAACAGTCTTCATACACTTTTGGCTGCAGTGTAGAAATACCCATAGTTCTAAGGGTACTATCTCACCAAAAATGCAGGTCTGTGCCACTCTGTGGGTGGAGCAGGTATCTGGCAATCTGCTCTGCCAAGTAACCATATAAGCTTACAATTGGCACTGATAATGGGGAGTCCTAGTGATCTTTTAATCTCTCTCACTCTGGTCCTCTGTCTAGAACAGGGGTTTTCAACTTTTTTTGGTCGGGGTACCCCTGGCGGCCAGTCAAGAAGCGTGGAGTCTCCTGGTGGCTGGTCAATGAGCTGGGGGTTCCCCCGGTGGCTGGTCGACAAGTGGGGGATGGGGGTACCCTGTACGGTATGCAGCAGCAGAACCAGGAGTGCCACCGGCTTCTCCACACAGCTGCTGCGTACCCCCTGGGGCCTTCCAAACTACCCCCAGGGGTACGTGTACCCCTGGTTGAAAACCTCTGGCCTAGAACACTGTATCTAGCACTTGTAATCTTACAAAGTTGGGTTAAATTACTTCAGAAGCTATCTTGAGAAACTACTGAACTAAGCATCAAGTTCTTCCTAGTTCCTGAGAACCAGTACACTTTCTCTTGTGTTCTATAGACATGGGGCATTTGTACACGTCATGTTTTTTGCCTTTTCTTGTGCTGCAACTGTGTTACTGTTTGCATGAGCAGGATTTCCAGATGCTTTAAAAGTCTTTCTGGTACATTAAACTAAAACTCCTCAGACATCGTGTAGTTTGGCTCACTGGGAATTAAAGCATTGTGGCCATGGATTCATTGCGTGCAAACACAAAGGTACTGAAAGATGTGTAATTAGCTTCTTTTTCCACCAGATGGTGCTGCGACTTTTTTGTAGATCACCTCTTTGTCCACCTGAGGAGAGAGGGACTGGTGTATTACTTACTGGTTTACTGGTGAACATGCACCCCCTGCTGTAATTCAGTAGGGAAGACAGCACTGGGGTAAATTGATATTTGGCTCCCCCTGCTGGAATTGACAGGGAATTGCACACCGGGCTTAATTTGTTTGAAAGCCCAGTGTGTGCAAACACTGACATAATGCTCCAAAATACAAAAGTTTAAATTTTACAAACCTATTTAACTAGGATGAAACACTGTGACATGTACAGGTGCCCATGATGACCAGATGGTTTTCATTTCTGCTATCCAAGTCCACTGCATGGCTATCATCCCTTCTCTTTAGTAATTACTCTTGATCTTCTGAAAGGATAAGAAGTATGTGGGGAAGGGAAACTGAGAAGCTGGAATCATGTCTCATAAAATGTTTAGCGTAAGTCATAACTATAGCATCTTTCCCTTTAAGGACCATGCAAACACTGGACAAGGTGGGCCAGAGCTAGAGAGGCCCTTTTCTGTTTCCTGGAGAATTTGTTCTAAGGGAGAGCTGATGGTGTCTCCACTACAGGGCCCGTCTGTGGATTCTAATTACCAAAGAAATCCTTCTTAGCTCCTGTGGGGGTTTCATCATAGCTCCCAACACCAGGAGCCACTGCATGAAGGTGCAGAGTCACTGGATACATAGTTTTCCACACCACTGCCATATATGCTAGAGCTGCACTGGCCCTCTACACCAATCTCAGTCTCCAACACAAAACCTCCTGCCTTAGCTAAATTGGTAACACCAAAGACCTCTGCTACAGTCTACATGAGCAAAACCTGATGCAGACCATGGGAGTTAGTTTAAACCAAGGAGATGCACTGAAATCATTTCTCCCATGAGTGAAATCTCTACAGCAGAACATAGCACCTCTGTATTCAGGCATGCAACCTGACACAACAATTTAGACTGTGAAGTGAGGAATACTTTATACAGCTGCAACTGCAAAGGGTGGTTAGGCAGACAGGATGTAATTACCTGAGCTGCAATTTGTCCAGGATTCTGTAGTTTTACTTTAACAGAAAGTGACACCAGATATGTAATATCCACAAGTGCTAAGAGGTTCATCATTTTCTTCTGATCAGATAGTTCCTTTAGTAGCACACTGCCCCCTATCCCTGTGCGTGGTTGTTCGCTTGGCACTGGCTGGGAGAGAAAAGCAATATATGCTGAATCATCAGTATCCCTTCCTGCAGCAGAACCTGAGGCTGGGGGTGGGAGGTCCCAGGGAGGCAACTGACTTGGACTAACCATGATCCAGCATAGGAGAACAAGGTGCTATGAAGGAAGGCTGAAGCAAAAGCATTTAAGAGTCAGTCTAAGCCCCAGACAGCAATCACTCTCCCTTCTAACACATTTGCCAGCCCGTCCATGTTGAGTCATAATATAACTCAGCCAACTTTGACTGAAGGTATTTGGAGTGTATATTCACTTTATATTCTGGCAACAGTTGAAAGGACAGAGACTGCTAGGTTCACCTGCTAGCAGAATTTTAAATCCCATGGACACTGTGTAGACCCTGGGCTCCTGGTTCTGAGTTTTCTTTATAACCCTCCTGTCCTCATGTCACTTGCCTCCTTTTGCTGAAATACCTATACCAAAAAAAGTCCACATGTCCTGCTTGCTGGGCCAGATTCATCTTCGCGCTAAGAAAGGAGCCAGTGGAAGAGTCATTGCAGAACCATCTTAAAGTAGGGCCAAATACTGGTTCCAGGTACTCTAGTAGTCCTAGGAAGTCAAAACAGAAGAGCTGCCATATATGAATCCTGGAGCCCAGGAACGGTGGCTGTGCCTTAAGGAAATGATCCTTCGGGCACAGAGGGAGACGATCCCGATGCGAGGAAAAAGAGGGAAAGGGGCCAGGAGGCTTCCTTGGCTGACCAGAGAAATCCAGGGCAGCCTGCGAACTAAAAGGGGAGCATATAAAAAGTGGAAACGGGGAGAGATTACCAAAGAGAAGTATACCTCCTCTGCTCGCACATGTAGGGAGGCAGTCAGACGGGCCAAAGCTACCATGGAGCTGAGGATGGCATCCCAAGTAAAGCATAACAAAAAATTGTTTTTTAGATATATAGGGAGTAAAAGGAAGGCCCAGGGAGGAATAGGACCTCTACTAAATGGGCATAAGCAATTGGTGACGGACAGGGGGGGACAAGGCTGAACACCTCAATGAGTTCTTTGCCTCAGTGTTCCTAAGCGAGGGGCAGGACAAGTCTCTCACTGGGATTGTAGAGAGGCAGCAGCAAGGCGCCAGACTACCAAGCATAGACCCTGAGATGGTGCAGAGGCACTTGGAGGAACTGGATGCCTTTAAGTCGGCAGGCCCGGATAAGCTCTATCTGAGGGTACTGAAGGCACTGGCTGACATCATTGCAGAGCCACTGGCGGGAATATTTGAACACTCGTGGCGCACAAGCC